GTAACTTTCTTGGCTCTGCTGGATCTCCCCGCTGCCTTTAATATCCTAACTTATGATGTCTTTCTGGATTGGCCAAGTCCTGTTTTCTCCCTTCCTGAATGGGCGATTTCATTTGGTGGTGCAGAGGGAGAGGTCAAACGTATGGGCCTTGTTTTGTACAGCGCTGCAGTGCTTAATCCTCTCCCCCATAGTATTTACTACATGAAATTGCTAGAGTTAGGTCTAAATCTGGTTCTTCCCTGGTGGAAGCAGAAGAGAACCCCAAATATATATATTCTGTTTAGCCCAGGAAGGATGTACACATGTGGCTATCATTAATCTATCAATGATGCTTCCACTCAATGAAGTGTGTGGCCTCCACCAGCAATTTCATGTAGTAAATACTATGGGGGAGAGGATTAAGCACTGCAGCGCTGTACAAAACAAGGCCCATACGTTTGACCTCTCCCTCTGCACCACCAAATGAAATCGCCCATTCAGGAAGGGAGAAAACAGGACTTGGCCAATCCAGAAAGACATCATAAGTTAGGATATTAAAGGCAGCGGGGAGATCCAGCAGAGCCAAGAAAGTTACTTTCCCACTATGCCAGTCCTGCCACAGAGCACCAACCAATGCCAGTGTTCTCCAGCCCAAATCCCAAATGAGAAGAATCCAGGGGATCCATTTCATTTTAAATTACCGGCATTGCATTTTATTTTTAATAGATCTTTTAATGCTAGTGCCTTTTTAATGCAAGGTATTCTTAATATATATTCATTTCAAAAATTATTCCCTGATAGTCCAACGCAATTCAATTTATAGCTTTACAACTGAAGAATATGAATGTTGTAATTATTTTTTTTTTAAAAAATATAATGCCTTGATTTTGTTTTTTTGTTTAATTTTCTGTATTTTAAGTTACCTAGACTCTAGGACCAAGGTTATAAATGATAGGAAAGAAATATATGCATTCATACTGATATTTTTAGTGTCAGCCTGCCTGACAGCGTTTCTATTTTTGCCTCCCTTGATTTTTTTTTTGATGAGACAGTGTAATTGTATTGCCATTATCTTTTTAATTTGTAGAATTACAAAACAAAAACAGAACATGTGGAAACTTATAAAACAGAACATTTAAAAATTCAGATAAAACAAACCAGCAACAATAAAGATCAAAAGCTAAATCAAAATTAAATCAAATACAGCAATCAGGTACAATACTAAGTACATCAATGGAAAAATTACTACTGCTCAATTTTTACACGATGAACAAAACCTGAATTGCATAGAATCCCATTGTCCAGTCTTCCGGTTAAAGAGAGAGACCATTCAAAGGCTGAAATGAGTCATTTCATCAATCCAGCCTTTGGCATCTGTGTCAAAGTGTCTTTCCAGGAGCATATAATAATCTTCATGGCCCCATCTCTGGGCCTTTCAGTGGCACATATTATTCATATTGTATTTATTTGTAAAACGTATACCCTGTTCTTTCACTGTTTTCCTGACAATTGCAAAGCAGGGAGCAATGTTACAGCTTCTTATTTATTCCTAGGGATGGGATGGTGATGAATAGCAATTAATAGCTTCTAGCTAGAATTAGAATCGACGGACAGCAGCTCTCGTCTTCCCTAGCAAGAACAAGTAAATTACAAGAATAACTTTGCTTAATATCTGTCTGTCCTGTATCTGCTTTTTACAGAGCCTACAGAAGGGATTTGAAGAAAACCATCCCTCTTTCACCTCAAGACAAAACACCACACTGGACCCATCTCCTATTGCCTTCTATGGGATCTGTCCCCAAGAGACCACCTCCCCGTATCAATTTGACAACACCACAATCTTGTTTTCCTTGGGTGCTCCGTAGGACAGATTGTCGCCTGAATTGGCAGGTCCTTTCCTCTTGTCTCCATTTTATGAAACTGTTCCAGCAACGGAAGAGAAGGGCGACTCTGGAATCCTCCAGGAAAATTGCAAAGCCCCAGTAAAATGGATTTCATAGGTTTGTGACTATTGGCTGCATCTGATTGAGAGTAATTCCATTTACTCTCTGGTTGAGATGCAAAGAAAATTAAGCCTTTACATTTTTAGTCCTATTAGTAGACAATGACAGCAAAAGTACAAAGGGACCTTCTCTTTTGGGGCCTCTGTTTGCCCTGCAGACTTCAGCTGCTTGCATCCAGATTTTCTAGATAAGAAGCCACTGTTTTGAAATCTATCAAATAGGACTTTTTCAAATTTTGTAACTTTTGAAGAGCTTGCGTTCCACCCCGGGGTGGTATTCACTTACTTTCCCTACCGATTCGCAAATGTGAGCGCACGGCAGGCCTTCGCTTCTGTGGGCCATGTCCACACATGCGTTTAGCCTTCTGTGCATGTGTTCAGCCTTTGCATGCATGCGCACAGCGTGAAAACGTGCCTAAATAGGACAGTATAGAGCCGGGGCGCGTGGACAGGTTCACCCACAATTTCCACTACCGGTTCGGGTGAATATCACCTCTGCTTCCGCTCCATGAAAAGCTGTTTGAAATTTCACTAAGCCATCTTAAATTCCCATTTCTGGTAAATGATTTTTTTTAAAATAAAGCAAGCACTTAAAAGGCATCCTACCTTAGTAACTTTTTCTACACCATTTATTTTCTCCCCTAATCTTCTCTCTCTTAGGGAACCCCAGTCTTTAAAAAAAAGGCACTAGGTTACGGAGAAGGGTTGTGTGTATGTTCGGTCATTGTGATCAAGTGGAAAAAGTTACGGTTGTTTGGTGATGAGCTACTGAAACTTTCCAGATTAAGGAAAACTTTTCTGAATTACACTTCCAGGGCTTAAGACTCTGGTGCCAGGCAGAGTTCATTACCCTGCCCTATTTTGTAGATATATATTTTATATAAAAAGAGGAAGCATAGCAAACTTCTATATAAAATATTCAAATTCATATACTTGATGATGAGGTCATCCATTCAGTCGTGTCCAACTCATGGCATTTCTGTGGGCCAGGTCTCTCCACATTTTCTGATCTTGCACTATTTCTTTTGAGTTTTTCCCTATGCTTTGGCTGGTTGTCAGCTTTGATGGTGTCCAGCCACCATGTTCTTCTGTGGCCTGGTTCCTTTCACCGCTAATTCTTCCAAGCATAATTGCTTTCGCCAGCGAATTCCCCCCAACCCCCAATGAGGTGGCCAAAATAAGTGACAGAGTTTTGTGATTTTGCCTTCCAGTGACGCGTCTGAGTTATGCACTCATATACTTATTAAAAGGCCAATTTTTTTCCCAAAGAAGAAAACTTGGCTCACCTTGGTGCTGATTTCTGGGTATTTTTTTATGTAATTATTTTGGTGTAGTACAAAATACAGCCTTGGCTAGGGCCCCAGTGATCTATAAGGAGACACATAAGTGGCCTGATTTTCTTCTGTGGAATGTATATCATTGCCTTAAGCTTAGAACACTTTGTCTGCATTGGTAGGAAAGATAGAAGAGAAAGAAGCATGTCTACTGCCATCTCTTGTCCAGTTTTCTCCTGTTGGATCTTGGGCAGCTTGGCTTTATTTTGTGCTTGCTGGAGAAATAAAATAGTTTTAAGATGCAAATAAACTATATCTGAATTGGTATGAAGTCTGTTTGCTTGATGTCCACTGTCATAATTCTTTCGTGCAACTTTGGCTGTAGAGAATTGTTGGTCTAATTAAAGGTATCTGTGAAACTTCTCCATCTAGGAAAAGGAGTCTGGCTTAATAAAAATGCTCATCCGTATAAGGTCTAAATTATGTTTTTCTCTACTTCCTCTCGTCTCACATTTAAATAGAAGTGATTCGGCTGTCAATATACACAAAGCAAGTGCTGCATCCACAAAACCACCAAGTACAAAACAAATAGACCAATGAATACTAGAAATACACCGAAGCGAGGTGTAGAGGGAAAGAAGAGGGGGGAATT